CTTTTATAATCCTTCTCTCTCCGAAACCAAGAAAAGGAATAATGGGTTAAAAATCTTGTAGAGAAAAAAAGAATACGTATTCTAATGACAAATATCAACATATTCAATTCTTGAAACATACGGACACAGAGCTATTTGTCAACAGTCACAAGTAGGTATTCCAGAGATACTCTTCCCCATGAACTCTCATTTATGGATCTAATACATCGATCTCTAATGGAGAAAAATAAAACTCCCCAAGACAGAAAAACACTCTTACAGATGTATAATTCCTTATTAAAAAAGCACATAGATAAAGACCAATAACTGTATGATGAATAACAGTACTCAAATGCAAGGCAAAATAAAAACAGTGAAACTAAATCCCAGGAGCTCCATGCCTGGTGTGAGGTGCAGGTGCATGACCTGCGGAGCGGGAGGAAGCAAGCCTGAGAAGCGTGCACCTCCCCCTGGGAATCACGAGCCAGCCGCTCTGGGAGCAGGGCAGCGGCAGAGGTGGAGTGAAGGTTTGTCTTGTCTGCAGACACCTCATTCTTTTTCCCCAACCCTGTCGCTCCACTGCAGCCCTAGAAAGCAACAGGCGAGCTCGTCTATGCTCCTGGATTCATTCCTAAGCTGGATCATGGAGAGAAAAAATGTTCCACAAGTCTCTCTGAAGAGGTAATGCTATCAGCAAGCCTGAGTACAATGACACCTCCGGATATGAAAGGTCAGGGAACAGAGGCCATCTCCTACCCATCCCATCAGACCTCTCAAAACAGCACTCCGTCAAAAAGCTTTAATAACCAAGTAGATTTATATCAAAATGTAACCTACTAGAAATGCTTTCCACAGTTGTAACTTACACTGATACTAGTATACTATTATGAACTGCTTTTTAATTGCAAATTTGCATTAGCTGTTTCAAGTTATTTCAGAAGATATTCTTGGGGATTAAAAACACTTTAAAAGCTAGATATGGGGGCTGATGTTGTGATGTAACAGGCTGTGTCACCACCTGCGACACCACTGCTCCATATGGGTGCTGGTGTCAGCAAGGCTTCTCCACTTAGAAATTTTGTATCAATTCTCAAGAACACAGACAGAATTATGTCTTTAATTGTTTTTTTGTGTATGAAATGCCATCTAATCAAATACAGGAAACAAAGACAATAAAACATATTTTCTAAGAAATATAATCCCGAGGCCACAGCACCTACCAGTACTAGTCAGAGCAGTGTCTGGGGGTGGCCTGGGCTGCACACTGGTGCACTTGAGATCCAGGTCTGGGAGCAGGCCTGAAAGGGGTCCTCAGGGGGCTCCCCAACTCCAAGAAGGAGCCTAGTCTAGGGGCAGGCTGGGCCAAGCTAGGCTGCAGCACCTGCCAGTGTACATGAGGGATGGGTCTGGGGGCAGTTCTGGAAGGGATTCACAAGGGACATCTGGACTAGGCAACAGTACCCACTGGACAGGGAGAAGCTGGCTTGAGCCACAGCACCTGTTGGCATGAGGACTAGATCTGGGCACAGGCCTGGGTGAAGTTTTTGGGGCTTGCCCTGACCAGGTCTGACCATCCACCGTACACGCAAGACTGGATCAGAGAGTGGGGGAGGCAGGGGTCAGGCAGGCTGGGTGTCAGCACATTCCAGCACATTCCAGCTCTCATGGCAACTGGGCCTGGGGACCAACTCAGCATGAGCTCTTGAGTCAGCCCGTTAAGTACATTCTACTCAATCCCCAAATGGTGCAGGACTGGGTTGTCCCTCTTGTGGGCTCCATGTAAAGAAACAGAATATACTGGGATGCACATGAAAGAAAGGGAAGCCAGTCTCTCTGATTTAACAGAGGACCTTGAATGCCTCACCAAAATATGGAAAGAGCAGCAAATTCAACAATACGACAGGCCATATTCTTTATCAAGTATCTAAGGCTACGGACATATCAGAACAGACATACACAGCTGGTAAGTATGGGAAGTGGCATCTTACACCTGGTATAACGAAGCCAACACCACATCAGAATAATCAAGATTATTCAAGTAATAAGCTCAGGTTATTCTTCCCCCACCCTCCTCTATCAGGGTCCCTGGGATGAAATGAGGAGACCATCTCTGTCCCCTGGTGCTTATGTGATCTGGTAGCAAAAAGCACTGCAACAACACCTCCCCTACCCCCACCCCAATTACCAAGGTCGAGGAGGGAGAGTGAGGTCTTCTCTGAACTTCCCCTTTCCCATTCACTACATCTCTTCCCATCCCACCCAGAAACTTGCATGGGCCTGCACTGCAGTCCCCTTACCTATGTAACAAACATTCAAAAATAAAACAGCTTTTAAGTAAACAAATAAATAGGAAACAGTCCTGAAAAGCAGTAAATGAATATTTTCATATGATACCACTTTTAAACACAGAAGTGATATTCATCTCCATCTCAAAGTTAGTCTCTTGTGCAGCTTATCCTAATGTAGCAGGCCATATTTATTAATTTCAGTACCTAAATGCAATCTAAATAAATGCTCATTCAAAAAGGCACATAAAAATCATTTAAAACTTTCATGGATTCCAAACAAATTCTGAAAGCTGACTAAAATTTTAAATTGAATATTTAAGATACTGGTTTTAAAATATAAGAAATACAAAACAAATACAAAGAACAATATCCTATACATGAGTTTTTAACGATTGTGGCTATACAAAGTTAAAATGTAGATAAATGCAAAATATCATGCCTACCTGTATTTATAACTATTATATTCAAACAATTATTCATAACACATTGATCTTATAGTGTTCCCAGAAAACATGCAAGATTTAACTGCATATAACACATGTGCACTACTGCGGCAGAGACTACACAAGGGCAGTGAGCAGCTCAGTTTCCCCAAACTCCAGTATATTCCAAATACAACAAAGCCGACAACAAGTACTCCCTTGAGGAGAGGGCACTTGGTGCAAGGTTAAGACACACTGGGGACACCTGTATCCTCCAGCAGAGAGCCACAGCTGCGCCCCAGCTCCTGGTTCACGTGCACCTTGGGTGGCAGCAGTGTATGGCTCAGTCCTCAGGTCCCTGGTACCCCCTTGGGAGGCCTGAACTGAAGTTCCCAACACCAAGCCTTGGCCTGGCCAAGCCCTGCCTATTGTGCATATTTGGAGAGTGAACCAGAAGACAGGACACATGCTTGCTCTTAAGATGACAGATAGCTGCCTTGTCTTTATTTGCTCCTTTGGCTACCTGAAAGGTCTAAAGGAGGCCAGAATCTCTCCATCAACTTGCTAGAACTTTATACATATAATTAAGACATACCTTAAGATGTAATACATACAGACACACCCTCAGTTGATAAAAGTCTATTTTAATGATTTACAAACCTATGGGTAGAAAGAATATTATTGTGACATGGGTAAGAAACTTCTAATATCAACTTGCAGAACCCATGGCACATAAAGACTCCTCAAATATCCAGGCCAAGTGAGTAAATGGGTACCTAAAAGCTTGCAACTGATTAAAAGGAAATGATATGGAAAAGGAAAACCTATCATAAAGAAATCCTTTATAATCCAATGTATCTTCTCTCTGCTATACTTATAAAACTCAGAATTTCATTAAATATTTTTGATATGATTTGTGCTAGAGAATATATTTAAAAATACAATTAAAAATAAAAAAGAAAAATTTCATTTGGCAATCAGCCATAAAAGTTTTCTTTCATATTGAAGTAGACCATAATAAGGAAGGCTGCTATTAAATGTTTGAAATCTAGTCTTTTACACTTCTATTGATAACAACATAGATGAAGTCTGAGGTAGGATTCTGTGAGGATTAAATTGGACTACTTTCTCCACATTCTCAAAGAAAACACTTCAAGTTGTGCAAAATACCCTCGATGTCCAGGGGCCAAGGATGACAACTGCTGCAATGGAAGAGCAGAGCAGTTACAGTTGGGGAGTGTCAAAAACACCTTTTTGTTGACACTATCAAAATCAACTCTATTTCTTTGACTTAAGGCAGTGTGGCTTTCAATAGGGAACACACAAACAATTTAAACTTAGCACAGAAAACATACTGTAATGATCTTCCATGTACAAAACCACAATACAAAATGAACTAATAATACATAATAGGAAAGGAGTACTAAATAGTTCCTGTTACAAGTAACTACCAAGACAGACCATAAATGCTAGTACAAGGGTACTTCAAACAGTCCACAGGACAACAGAAGTAAAAGATAATGTGCAGGGCGGAGGCAGGCTTGTATTGTGGTGTACTAGGTAACACCGCCACCATCATGCCAGCATCCAATATGGGTGCTAGTTCATGTCCTGCTTTCCATGGACTTGTGAGACTTCTCAGAGGGTGAAACAATTTACAACTGGCATAAACTAAAGTCCATGAAGGGGTCTGGTTAAAGATGCAAGCTTCATACTCACTTCAGGGTAGGTCACTGCTGTAGCCCCATGAATAAATGGTAGTTAACTCAAAGCAGCAGAGTTGTAATTATGCTATCCTTTTCTTTCCCATTTGAAACAACTTATTATTAGCTAAAAATAACAAGTTGGTTTTAGAATAAAAACGTAATTTTCCAACAACAAACTGAATCAATCACAGTCCAACAAATAGTTAAAAGAATACTGGGAAATTTTAACTGTATTTTCAAAACTAAAACAATCTCTAAAACAATCTGTGGAGACTAATATATTCGATGTCTCTGCAATAAAATCAGTATTAGCATGTGGCATCACAAATGCTCCACTTCCAACCCAGTTTCCTGCTGTTGTGCTGGTCCAAATATCTGGATTCCTGCCCCTACTCAGAAGACGTGCATGGAGTTCCCAGCTCAAGGCTTCTGGTTGGCCCAGCCCCACCCTTCACAGTCATTTGCAAAGTAAAACAAAAATTGCAAGATCTCTTGTTCTGTTTCTCTCTGCCTTCAAATAATAAAATAAATATTTTTAAAAGCAATCTGACAGTTTGTTATTAAATGAAATTGTTTTAATTCACACATTATTAGCCATGTGTTACCTCCACAATATCCGAGTTGGTTCTGCTTTCATGAGGCTCGTTGTATTCTGTGTACTTGAGAAGAACCTTGTCCATGTCAGTGCTGGCATACTGAAACAGTTTGTTGGAGCTGTTGAAAATGATGAGTGCTATCTCACAGTCACAGAGCACACTCAGTTCATAGGCTTTCTTCATCAATCCAAACTTTCTCTTTGTAAAAGTGACCTAGACAACCAAAGGGGAAAAAAGTATATTTTTGTTAGAAGTAGAAATCTCAGCCACCTTATAAAAATTGAGATTCCTAACTTCATGTTCTGCACGGGCCAACCTTTCACCATCAAAAGCGATTAACCAGAGAAGGAAACAGTGGTCTCATCATCCAGCTGAAAAATTTGTATCATAAAAAACCCTTAAATCCTACCCCTAACTAATCCTACATCACAGACTTAAATCTGTAAACAAACACATACATCCACGAATCTACCTCACAATCTCCCCTCTTGCTCTGTGCACACTGAAATTCAGCCTTAAGTCAGCAAATTCCCCAACATCCTCAAGTTCTTCCATTACTTTTGACTAGTGGAAATCTGATACCTGCAGTCCTCTCAAATAATCAGTAGGACTTGCTTTTAAATATTATACTTCTCATATTCAAAGTCCTAAAATAAGTCAAGTTATTCTCTATTTTCAAATTATTTGTCCTTCCTTGTTTTTCAAAAGGCGTTAACTTCTTAAAATTTATTCATTTACTTATTTTCAAAGTCAGAGTTACACAGAGAAGAGACATAGATCTTCCATCACTCCCCAAATGGTCCCAAGGGCAGCACTGGGCCAGGACGAAGCCAGGAGCTTCTTCCAGGAGGCTTCCATGTGGGAGGCAGGGCCGGAAGCACTTGGGCCATCTTCCGTACAAACCAGTGTCCAAATGGGATGTCGGTGATACTAGTGGCAGCTTCACTCACTAAAACATAAGGCTGACCACTCAAGTCTGAAACATTTTGAGGATCATGTGACAACCTTCCTTGTGGTAAGCACAAAATGACTCCCTAGTCACTCCACCTCCCGTGCTAATAAGCATCACTTGATTACATTTTCCTGTAGCCTGCTTTTATCCCTGGTGACTTCAAAATTTAAAAATCCATGCAAACACCTTAGTCTCTCAGTTCCATCATCTCCTATCCTCTCATCATTTCACCTCAAATATCTCAACTATACGCCACCCACTCTTCCATCTTCCTTTGCTATCCTATTTTGTATAATTTCTCTGGAAATTTCTTTTACCTTATCAAGCCCTACAGTCCATTTACCTCATCAATGTGTTATCTACCTATCCCCTTCTCCTTTCCCTCTCAGGAGATCTGATGGTCCATCATTATCTTCACTCACTTCTCTCACGAACACCTTCACAATACAACCCCAACCAGAAACCCAACGCTCTCTACACAAGCCCAATTACTCCTGTTGATTCATGCACGTAACTGGCAATTCCTGGGAGCAAAACATCCATACACAGTATCTTCCTGAACTGATGATCACAAATCCCAAATAATATTCAACTTCGCCTGACAATCCAAATTGCAATCTGTTTTATTTCATTAACACATTCTAGAAGCCAATTATTTCTCATCTTCAGTACAATATTTAACTCCCCTTTGACAATCTTACTTAAATCATTAACAACAATGAGGTGATCATTGTGGCATAGCAAGTAAAGCTGCCATCTTGCAACACTAGAATTCCATCTGGATGCCAGTTCATATCCTAGCTGCTATATTTCTGATCCAGTTCCCTGTTAATGGCCTGGGAAAAAAAACAGAGCATGGCCCAAGTACTTGAACACCTGCCACCCACACAGGATACCCTGATGAATACTGTTTCCTGGTTTGGCCTGGGTCAGCACTAGCTGCTGTTAGCCATTAGGGGAATGAACCAGTGAATGTAAAAATGTTTTTTACCCCTTTTTCTTTCAAATAAATAAATAACTAAAAAAAAAAAGAATTATTTTACTTAAAAATCAGAGGGAGACAGAGAGAGAGAAAGAGAGTATCTTCCTTCTGCTGGTTCATTTCCCAAATGGTCACAATGGCCAGATGTGGGCAGATCCAAAGCTGGGAGCCAGGAGCTTTCTCTAGTCTCCCAAATGAGGGTTAGGGCTTACCGCCTCGGGCCAGGTCATCAGCAGGGAGCTGGACCAGAGGTGCAACAGCTGGGATTTGAGCAGCACCTACATGGGATGCCAGCACCACCGGTGGAACATCAGCCTGTTGTGTCATCATGTTAGCCCCAATAGATAAATCTTTTTTAGAAATTAAAAAGGTAAAAATAAAGAGGAGCAAGTTTAGGTTTCTATTAGCTGTACCTTCCCCCAGCCCTTCTTTGCTGTTACTGGCTTTTCCATCCCCATTCCTTCCCATGTGCTTCTCTCTTGCCCTCTGCTAGACAAGCACCCCACAGAGAACTCTCCACCCTCTGTCCTCACTCTTCTCTTCCCTGCAGCCACCGTACCTTTTTTACTTCAGAGTCAAAATGTTGAAAAGAAATGTCTACAATTGACTACAAATGTGCCGCCACCTACTCTCTCTCCTAACCTAGAACAATCAGATTTCTACTCCCCACAGTCCACCAAAATGGTATCTGCAACTTCTATGAACAAAATCAGTGGTCCCATTTTGGTGCCTATTTACTTTTATACTTAAGCAGCATTTGACAAAGTTCATACTCCTCACTATTCTTTCCAGATGGTCATGACCAGAATACTCTCCTGGGTATTCTGCTACTTGGATTTCAGTGGCACTCTTTTCAGCCTTTGTAGCTATCTCTTCTCTTTCACTTAATGATATTTAACAGCTTGTACGTTTTAGACTTGGGCTTCTTGCTCCTTTTAATCCTAACAGTGCTTGTCAAATGACAAGCTACATAGCTGTAAAATAAATAAACACATTCTCCCTGTAGTCTTCCCCATTTTTAAAAAAAAGATTTATTTATTTTTATGGGAAAGGCAGGTTTACAGAGAAAGGAGAGACAGAGAAAAAGTTCCATTGGTTCAAGTATCCGCAACAACTGGAGCTGAGCAAATTCGAAGCCAGGAGCCAGAAGCTTCCACCAGGTCTTCCATGCTGGTACAGGGTCCCGAGGCCCTAGGTAATCCTCCACTACCTTCTCAGGCCACAAGCAGGGAGCTGGATGGGAAGTGGAGCAGTCAAGACATAAACCAGCACCAATATGGCAGCCCAGCACATGCAGGTGAGGTTTCAGTCACTGAGCCATCTCTCTGGGTCCAATCTTCCCCATTTTTCCAAATGGCATCACCATCCAAAATCAAAAAGAAAATTATTCTTGATCTCTCTTATCCTAATAGGGTTTTCATATAATCCTCATGAATTATCCCAGCTGTACCTCTGAAACGTATCTCAAATGTATCTACTATCAGATCCAGCAGTGTGGCTTAGCAAACAAAGCTGTCGCCTGCAAGGCCAGAAACCCACATGGATGCTCGGTTCCTGCTCTGCCACTACCAACTCCTTGCTGGTGGCCTGAGAAAGGCAGCAGAAAATGGCTCAAGTGCCAGGGTCCTGCTACCCATGTGGGAGACCTGAAAGAAAACTGGCTTCATCCTGGCCTGGTCCTAGCTATTGTGCTACCTGGAAAGTGAACCAGCAGATGGAAGATATCTCTCTCTCTAACTTTCAAACACACAAATAATGTACATTTTTTTTTTAATGTATACACTATTTATACTACTATTACCCAAACTAAATAGATTGAATTTACTGGATTTCCTGTCTCATCTTTAAAACAGTGTAGAATATTTGCCAAAGTGATACAGCATATGTGGGAACTTAATTTTTCACTGCACTGAATGTAACACCCAAATTCACTGAGCACATAAGATAAATAATTTCTCTATCTAATCATATTTCTTGTCATTATCATTTAGACCACCAATCTAATACTACAACAGGTGTGTGCAAATATACATGATCTGTGTTCTTCAGGTGCTTTCCAACTTAAAAACTCTATTAAGTATGTGGCTGCTCCTTTTCCAATCTAGTTCCCTGCCAATGCACCTGGGAAGGGCAGTGGAGGATGGCTCGAGTCGCTGGACCTGCCTGTCACTCAGGTGACAGAATTCTAGGCTCCTGGTTTCAGTCTGGCCAAACCACAGCAACCACTTGAGCATGGAATGAACAGATGAAAATCTCTCTCTCTCCTTCTCCCTTTGTCACTGTTTCAAATAAAATCACTGAAAAATAATAATAAAGCTTGCATCATTGTTTTTGAAAAGTCCTCGTTATATAATGCAAATATAATTTTTACATGTCACACTTTCCATTTCACCTATACAAAATTCTAATACACATTTGCAGCAACATAGCATCTTTCAATCCATATTTTCCTGATCATATAATCCTATTCATACACATACGCACACACAATTTTTACAAAATAAGGCTTTATCAATACTCTTAGTGTTTGTTTTATTCATTTCAACCTAATCTTCTGGAGTCTCAGTATGAACTAATCTGAAAGTCATAACAGAATTTATAACCAGTCTTAGGAGGACACGTCCACATTTTTCTGACTTTTTAAAGAAATTTATTTATTTTTATCTGAGAGGCAGATTTAAAGGGGAAAAGAGAGGGAGAGAGAGAGAGGAAGAGAGATTGATTCCCTATTTGGTTCACTGTCCAAATAGCTCCAATAGCCAGGGTTGAGCTGTTCCAAACAAAGGAGTGAGGAGCTTTTTCAGGTCTCCCACATGGGTTCAGGGGTCCAAAGCTTGGGCCAACCTCCACTGTTTTCCCAAGCAATAGGCAGGAAGCTGAATCAGTAGTGGAGGAGCCAGGACTGGAACTGGCACCAATTGGGAAGTACTATGCTACAGGTAGAGGATTAGCCTGATAAGCCATTTCTGGGCCCCTCTTTTGTTAGTTTTATCTCCAGAACCTCTACAAGATCCTCCCAGTGAAGACCACAGAAAGCCCCCTGGGGTTTCAGCAGGAAGATACATGGCTATTTTGAAGTATGTCAGCATTTTGTTCCAAATAGGAATTTTTACTAACAGCAAGAACTACTTACCAGAGCTGAACTTGTAGGGGGTTTAGTAGAGCTTAACCAGTCTAGGAAAAGGCAAATATCCAACTCCAAAGTCCTGCCTAAGGGGAAGAAGAAGGTGACGGAGCAACACTTGGTCACACTCCAGGAGCTCAAGTCACCAAAGCACT